TGAATGTTTGACTCTTCCCTACAATACATTCTCTAGTGTGTCAACAAAACAATATTTTCTTGCCACATTTACCTGTGATTTGAAAAAAAAAAAAACAAAAAGGAAAAGTAAGCAAGCAAAACAAACCTGCAAGAAAGCCCTCAATAAACTCCTGCTTTCCGTCACTCAGTATCTCTAGGTTATTACTAGCTTATTCAGTTTTGGATTCTTATTAAACTCAAAATATTGATTCATCAGCACAAAGCTATTAGATTTTTGCTTTATGCATGTTTTGAAAGCACACTGGATATTGGTGGTATATTTACGTAATCACGCTGTTATTCAGTGTGCTTGCACTTTTTCCATGCATGCTATCTTAATGGAAATTTCCTGGAAAATTCTTTCTATAATAAACACCTTTCTTAAAAAGAGAAAGAGTGAATGTTCTTCTAGTTCAGCCACATCTCTTTCCTGTTAGCAGACAAACCATATTATCTGGCATTAGTCATTATACTGCACTTAGTTGACAGTCCTTATTACAGTCTTCAATTGGGCTAATTGTAGTAGGAAACACAAACAAGGGAGATAATCTTGAAACATAGTTGTTGTTATGTGCCATCGGGTCACTAGCGACTCATAGCGACCCTATGTATAAGAGCCCTAAACCCTGCCTCTATACTGTCCCAACCTCACTGTCTCTGACACACCTACTCCGATTACCCCAATCACTGAATTGATCCATCTCATTGAGGGTCTTCCTCTCTTACGCTGTCCCTCCACCCTCCCAAACATGATTTTTTTGCAACATGTCCAAAGTATGTCAGACTTCAGAATTCTTGACTCCAAGGAGCAGCCTGATTTCACCCTCTCCAGGACAAACATGTTTGTTTTCCTACCAGTCCATGGTATATCCAACAATATTCTCCAGCACCACAGCTCAAAGGCATCAATTCTCTATCTTCCCTAGTCACTTGTCCAGCTCTCTGACATATAGCATGCAATTGTGAAGACTTTGCCCAGATCAGGTGCCCCTTAATCTCCAGCCTGACATCGTTGCTCTTCAGTACTCTGGAGAAGTCCCTGACAACTGACTTTCCCAATGCAGTTCATCTCCTGATTTCCTGGCTTCTAGTACTAAGAGTGTTGTCGGTGGAACCAAGCAAACTAACACTGTTTACAATCTCAATCTTTTCACCATCTATCCCCAGTGGTGAGAATCTTTGTTTTCTTGATGTTGAGATTCAATACACATTGAAAGCTGCAGTCCTTGACCTTCTTCAGTGAGTGCTTCAGGTCCTCCTCAGTTTCAGCAAAGCTGGATGTGTCATCCGCATAACGCAGGTTGTTGATGAATCTTCCTCCGATTTTGATGCCGCATTCCTCCTCCGATAGCCTAATAGATAAAAGAAAATTCAGGATTTGATAGATACCTATTTGACATATGCAACATTAATTGGGCATACCTTATATTAATTGATTTTAGGTATTCTGTGGCCTGCTAACATATATATTTATATTTATTTAAAGAAAGTACAGCCAGAATGCTTCTTGGAGGGAAAGATGACAAAGCTTCATCTCACAGATCTGGGAATGTTGCTAGGAGAGGTTATTCCTTGGAGAGGGACCTGGTGCTTGGAAAGTTGGAGGGTCAGTGAAAGAGAGGAAGACCCTTAATCAGATGACTTGACACTGTGACTGCAATAAGGGGTTCAAGTGTGTCAGAGATAAAAAGGATGACTCAGGATTTGACAGGGTTCAGATCTGTTGTTCATAGAGTAGCTATGAGTTATACTGAATTTGACAGCATATAACAATAACAACAGCAGCAGCAGCATAATTGTTATTGTTATGTGCCATTGAGTCAACTGCACTCATAATAACTCTATGAATGGCAGATCTAAAATGTGCCCTATACTGTGCCATCTTCACTATTTCTAATATACTTGAGCCTGCTGCTAAAGTCACCATGTCATTCTGATTTGTTGAGGGTCTTCTTCTGCCACACTGACCCTCCACCTTTCCAAGCATAATGTCCTCCAAGGCAACATGCTAAAAATATGTGAAACAAGATATATAATCAAGATAGATAGATAGATAGATAGATAGATAGATAGATAGATAGATAGATAGATAAAAGGTGATATCTTTGTCATCTATCTATGTATCTATGTATCATCTATGTATGTATGTATGTATGTATGTATGTATGTATGTATGTATGTATCTATCTATCTATCAATCATCTATCTCCTTTGCTGTCTAGTTGGAGCTGACTCATAGCAGACCCTCCTTTGGGGTGTGCAGGAGTCTATAAATTGCAGCTGTTGGTGGTTTCAATTCATCAGAGGGGTGCCACCTATGAGTTAACAGGCAAATCACTATGGAATACACCATCAGAGCTCTCTGAATTATATGTGTGTGTATATATCTGTATGTGTATATGTATATACACACATGCATAAATGTATATGCATTTATAATTAATTTGCTTATTTTTAAAGAATGAATTAATGTTCTCTTTCATATTTTAAGGATAAGGACTAGAAAATAAAAATATTGACTCTAGTAATGATTACTAAGTAGAGAGGGTTAAACCAGGCTGCTCCTTGGAGGCAAGGATTCTGGGGCTTCGCCTGACGTACTTTGGACATGTTGTAAGGAGAGACAGGTCTTTAGAAGGACATCATGCTGGGTAGAGTAGAGGGACAGCGCAGGAGGGGAAGACCCTCTATGAGGTGGACTGATTCAGTGACTGGGGTACTCGGGATGGGTGTGTCAGAGGCAATGAGATTGGCACAGGACAGAGCAGAGTTTAGGGCTGTTGTACATAGGGTCGCTATGAGTCGCAAACAACTCGACGGCACACAACAACAACTACAACAACAATGATTACTAAGAAGAGAGAAGGGAGGGTAGAAGCAAATGTATAAAACAGGAGTACCGGGGCAAGCTAGAGAGGAAAAAGTCATTTCATTAAGGGATCAGGAAAGCAAACAATTACAATTGAGCCTTGAGGCAAGAGATTCACACAGATATGTCTAAATGTCCTGTTGGCCTTTGTTCTCATACCCTCACACCAATGAACCCTAGATTGATACAATTACTTTTTTTTTGTGGAGAGAAGTTTATTTTTAGAACATATACATCTCAGAGAGAAAGATGGACCATTCTCCAAAAGTAAAGAAATGGAGAAAGATTGTGAAGAAATGTTAGTGATTGTTCATTTATTCATGGAAGCCGGAAAATAAAGTAGCAAGAAGTCAAGTCCAAGAGAACAATTTTTAGTGGAATAAAATTAGTTGATTAGTATGTAACAACTAAATACCCTGGTGTATTGAATTTATTTAAAGTGATAACAATTTCTTGGACGTTTCCTAAAACCAACTGGTATGAAAAGAGATAGAAAATATGACTTATTAAGATTCTACAGTCAAAAACTAATTATGCAAATATCTGTTTAAATATGAAAAAGTTCACTCACGATCAGAATATTTTTGTTTTATTGTATTCTGTTTACTTAAACAGAAAAAAACCCAAGTCAGTAAAAACAATTTTGCAAAATATTGCTTCTCAGAAATTCTAGATTGCCATTGTCCACATGTAAATGGCTTTTTAGAAATTATTGTATGTAGAAGAAACACACTATACCTGAAAATTTCCTGCTTAAGTAATTAGTCTTCTTTCCCTTTTGTTATTAATGATAAATTAATATTTCTATTTTCCTATATAAATAATAATAAATTTACTATTTCTTTTATATAGAAGTTATTTTTGTGATCTACTTTGTTTCAGTTTCAGAAATGAGATATGAGTGATAAAGAAAATATATCTTATTAGAAGTTATAATAACATTATGAGTTTTTTTTATTCTTCTCTGGTAGTATTTATTTTCTATTTTGGATTGCACTTTTGGCATTGTATCTAAAATATTAGTCTAAAACCCACAATATCTCCTGTTTTAATCTAGAGATTGTATAGATTTATATTTTTATTGTAGTTTGTCATATACCTTAATGTTTTTAAGAAAGAATATAACGTTTATGTTTTGTTTTTTCCTAATAATATTTACATGAATTCTGAAGTGGTAATTCCTAGTTATTCAGAGTTGCCAAGTGAATGAAATTTTGCCATGTTTTAAAATAGATTTATTTAAGTCATAGGTACATACGTTTGTAGGTAGAGATTAAAAATTTTTCTGGGAACACATAACAACACCACAAATTACTCTTTTATTTAGAAATCAGTTCAAAAAATAAAATGGAAATTGGAACTATGTTTCATTTAGATACTTGCAGTATAAGGTTGACTAGTTTTTGTTATAAATATGAATGAACATGTTATACGCTGTAAGAAACAAAACCACAATTGAATTGGAAGTCTATAATAAGGATCTAAATGGATTGACACAGTGACTATAACAATGGTTTTAAGCAATGAATGACACAGAATTGGTAAAGTTCTTATCTGTTGCATAGAGAGGCATTAGGATGCAGTGACATCGAATAACAGCAACAATGATGTTAAGTGCCATTAAGTTGACTACGTCTCATAGAAACACTGCACAACACTTCTGAACCTTGTTTTATTCTGTGCAGTCCTCACTGTCTCTGGTATCTTGAGCCCATTGATAAAGTCACTGTGTCAGTCCATCTTGTTGAGTTTGAGACAACTCCATGGCACCTAACAGTAACAACCATACTCACGATCTGCCTTGTCACTATTTGAACAATATTCGAAATTGGAAGGATCTTAAAGTATTCTTACTGAAATGTAAATTGAAATATAATTTACCATATTACTAATTGTTCTTTCCCATACTTTTTTGTAGAAAAGAAAACTGTTAGCTCTTTCTGGAGCATATGATAGTAACATCTAAATGTAAAAAGTTTGAAAGTATTTATATAAATTTTAATAAAGAGAACATAAAGAGTTTCCAAATTCTTTAACTCTGTTGTGTGATATTTTAGAATTTGTACTACTTCTTTATGAGCTAAAATACACATTTTCTTTTGAATTTATAGTCGCAGATATGGCCAATATACCATGAACCAGGAAAATACCACCAAAGTTACAGAAAAATCACCATTTAACCGATCAAGTTCTCAGGATTCGTTGGATGAATTATCTATGGAAGACTATTATTGGACAGAAATAGAAAATATCAAGAAATCCAGTGAAAACAGACACGACCAAGAAGTAGTGGTTGTCAAAGAGCCTGATGGTAATAGCAAACGAAATAAATGGGGTTATTTTGCATATATATTTATGAGAAAGAATGTATAGGAAAGAAGAAAAAGGGGTGGGGGAGAAGAAACTGGAATAATTAGTTTTAGTTACCTTTTGCTGGACAATTATTTGTGCAGCAAACTTAGATTAGCATCATGGGTAATTTTCTAAGTTATTTCTGTCCATTCCCATTTATTTACTCGAAGTTGACTAAGTGACTATGATTTAGCCAACTAGTCTAAGGTTATAGGCTTGGGCAGTGTTGGGTGATATTGTTTTAACCCGTATATTTGCATGTTTCTTTCATTTTTTCATAATTTATCTAAAAATAAATGTATATGTTTTAATATCTACTACTAGACATTCTAGAAGAATATTATAAAGTTTGTATTAATTACATTTTTAAATTTCATATTTTTCAACACTTTTACTCACCAAGTTTTTTATACCCAATTTTATCAAGTATTTTCTCAGTTCTCTTTCTATGCTTATGGCATCCATACAATTTAAACTTTTGTGTATAATTTTTCATAGAAATTTATATAAATACTAACGAGAATAAGCTCTTGGCACTGCCGCAGGACCCACAAATGTTGTTGTTATGTGCCATTGAGTTGCCTGAGACTCCTAGCAATTGTGTATGTACAACTTCTTTGAAGCCTGCCCTATCCTGAGCCAGTCTCACTGGCTCTGACACACCTACCCTCCATTGCTCCAGTTACTGTACCCCCACCCTTCTGAACATGAGGTACTTCTCCAAGGACCAGTTCCCCCTGGCCATGTGTCCAAAATATGTGAGAAGGGGCATCAAAATCCTAGCCTCCAAGGAGAAATCTTGGTTTCACCCTCTCCAAAACAGACTTATTTGTTTTCTTGGTGGTCTGTAGTATGTTTAAGACTCTTGCCTTTGAGTTGTGGCAAGACCCACTAATAGAGGCCTGCTTTTCAAGGGAATACTTGGAGCCTATTGTTAAAATCCAATCTATGTAAATAGGTTTTTTTACTTAGGATAACTTTGCTTTACAAGTACACCAATGAGAAAAATTGGGAATTATTTTTATGTTACATTTCTCAAGTTTTAAACATTTAACAAATATAACATTTCTTAAAGTATACATGTATAATTTGTACATACATTCATAATACAATTGATGCTATGTGTGATAATTAATAGCACCTCTCAATTTTTTGGTCTTACCTTTCAAGACAACAGTAGTATATAAGATATAACCGGTCTACTGAACAGAGAAAGAGCATGTTTGGGAAGACCACATTTAAGTCGGATGTAAAGTACATAACTATCATCATTAGCTGTTTCCTGATTCTTCAAAGTTAAAATAAAGCCAAATATTATTGTTCACAATGTGATCACTAATAAAACTGGGAATGAATTTACATGTAGAAGCCCTTTCTTCAACTTTGAGTTGATTGACTTTAACCTCTATTTTTTAATAGACCAAGTGACTATTATATTGCTGTTGTTTGTTTTTCTTGTCCTGATAATAGCCCCATTTCTCACCAATTTAGTTTTACGTGCTTGTACCCTATTCTACCTTGTTGTTGTAGTTACGTGCAGTCAATTGCCTGAAACTCATAGCGACCTATGTATAATAACATTATATAATACATATAATAGCATTAATAATAATGTCTTACTTTTTATTTCAATAAGCAGTTTTTGTTGCCTGACATGCATAATGCCTACCCTCAGTTAATGGTTTTTGAAGTCAAGGTTATGAATAATTGATTTTGCCTTCAAGGAGTTTATCATATAGAAAGACAGACAAGCAAAACAAACAATGTTATATCAAGTGATAGGCACTATAATAACCCTTTGGAAAGCTCTTCCTACATCTTCTCATATTTGCTTATAAGGTACCTAGAGCAGCTGTTCTTAACCTTACCAGAGAGGATCTGTTGATCTTCCTTGAGGCCTAGTGACTTGTTACAGTTGTAAAGGTACAGAGATGGAATATAGACCCAACACTAATATATTATGTCTTTTCATTTCTTCTTTCTCTTGGAATAAATCAATTCTAGGTCTCTCTTTCCCATAATTAGACCCTGTACTATATTAAGTTTACTGTTTCCTTCCTGCTTTTAGTATTTTAAATTGATTTAGTTATTTAATTAGTTACCTATAATAAGCTCTTTGCTGAGAAAATAAATCAGCTGCTCCTCCCCCACCCCTTAATTTGTAAAAATAACATGAATCTGATGTGCTGACTATAAGGATTAAAAAATTAATTCGGAGTTGATTCGTTCCTTATGTCCAGATGCTCTTTGCTTCTTTCTACACTCCCTGTCAGCTACAGAGAACAGAAAAACCAGTATTTCCATAAATTACTGTGGACTCTGGGGTATTTGAGCCTCCAGCTGAATTTAAGCCAAGAAATAGGGCTTTAAAGCCTGTGTCCCCAGCATTAACTTCCTTCTATAACCCGATGGAAATAAGTTATCTTTTCACTGCTTGCTCATCTCTGGAAAGGAAACAGTATGATTTTCTTTAGTTAATCTTCAGGGAAGTTATAGAGGTTAATTACATGTGAAGTAATTTAAAATTTTTAATTGTGTATTTATGAAATGGATCTAAAATTTGATATCTTTGTGGCTGGAGTTTATGGCAGTTGTCCAGATTTCACATAATGATTCTTAGCACTGCAGTTTGTTTATAATAGAAAAGTTTAGGTAAGAGTTTTTTAGCAGCTTAAAAAATGTAAAAGTTCTCCTATTTTTATAAACCTAAATATCCATATCTTCCCCCTTTTATTATTTTTCTCTCTCTCTTTGCTGTCTTAGAGGGGGAATTGGAAGAAGAATGGCTGAAAGAGGCTGGTTTATCCAATCTCTTTGGAGAGTCTGCTGGTGATTCCCATGAAAGCATGGTGTTTTTATCAACCTTGACCCGAACCCAGGCAGCAGCTGTTCAGAAACGAGTCGAGACTGTCTCCCAGACCTTGAGAAAGAAAAACAAACAGTACCATATTCCTGACGTCAGAGACATATTTGCACAACAGACAGAGTCAAAGGAAAAAGTAGGTTGTGTGGTTTGGGTTGGTTTTTTTTTTCATATGCTAAGACAAAGACATTGCTTGATTTTAACTGAGCCAATACAGTTCAGTTCAACTCACTAAAATTTTAATGAGCACTTATTTTCTTCCAGGCACTGAAGTTCTGAGCGGCAGGTCTTAATTCCTTTCCTTCTAGAATCTATCCTGATGGAACAGAAAATGAAGAAAGTTAAAATTCAGTGTGCTACCACTAATGTTAGGGGAAGATGGTCTCTTGGTTGGTTCATTAGAGGAGGACTCGACCTCATTAGAGTGAAAGGGAAGACTACCTCAGCAATGTGAGAAGGTAGCTCTGAACAAGCAGAGTGCAGATAATTGCTGTCTATCAATTCTTGTAGGAATATTTCATTTTTTATAGACTCCTTGCAGAATGAATGAAAGTACTGTATGAGGGAAGTAACTGCAGCTGAACCACCAAGTCAGAACCATGGTACATGAAGAGACTTTCCTTTTATGCCTTGTGCATATCCCGTAGAAGATTTTAGGACATATTTGCTAAAATGATTGTTTTCGTAATGGAAGCCAATGGAGTCTGGTAAAGACTGGCCAACTCATGAGTAAAGAGATGGATATGTAAAGAAAGATATGTAAGAAGTTTAAGACTTGTATGGCCTAGAATAAGTCAGTAACTTATTCTTTACTTATCTATGAGGAGAAAAGGAGCTTGTACCAGAATATAAATTAATCATCTTCTTACACTGAGGAAATCTTTCTATTTGCTCCTATCTCCCACCCACCTTGATTGAAATAGCCATAATGACAATAATTATTGTAGCCACTGTTACCGAACACTAACTGTGCTAACTATTGTGCATGCTTTATTTCATTTAATTCTCTCACAGCCAATCTGTGAATGAGGTGTTATTTCCATTCTATAGCTGAGGCTCATAGACTTTAAGTAACTTGCTCAGTGTCCCATAGACAGTAACCCCAAATCTGTCTGAGGCTTAAGTATATGCATTTAACCACTCTTCGACCTGTTGTATTTGGATTTAGATTTCTAGACCTGATTGTGAAATTAAGTAATTTGGACTGCCTCTCTAAACCCACTGGGGGGGGGGGTCGGCTATGGGCTGGTTCTGACTGGCGATACACAATAATGTTTATATTATAAACACAGGGCAACAAAAGGGCATGATGCTTTCAAGAAATAAGGAGACAGGGCTTGCATTTATCTTCTCTCCCCCACCCCCCACTCATTATACACATTTCATCCTTCAGAATAAAAGATGCAGATTGCTACTCCATTTGCATTGTCAGTTGTAGATAAAATACAGTACCTTTGTGGAAGTTTGCAGGTTATTAGATTTTGGCAGCCAGTCTCTTGCTGCTATGAGGTGCTTAAGTACTTGCTTACAACCCCAGAGGCTCTTTGGCACATCCACTAAAGCTGAAGGAATGGACTAGGTTACCAGCTATGGAAAAATGAATATAAGGAAATGCAACATTATGACATTTCCTTCCCAATTAAAGAGCCCTCCCTAAGGGAGTTAAAAGGAAATCAAAGGAGGGAAGGGCCAGAGAACTGTGCATCAGCTAAATGTATACTTTGGGATGGCTGCCAGTCTGCAAGAGAATGCCTCTATACTCGGTACTTCTAGAAGCAGCATTTCCCAACAAATTCCTTATAATATCTAAACCACATGCATGAAGTCCAAGGTAATTGGTGGAGTGTATCATCTGGAATCATTAAGAGAGAAATAGCCCAAGTAAATTAAAATAATTTTAACTTGTTTACACTGCATGCCTTTAATTGAAGCACGCCCCCCATTAGAAATTTGTTGTACCTCCCCCATCCCTCAAGCAAGTGTAGGCCAACTATGCTCATGTACAACTCCTCTCTTCTAAGAGTAAGAAGAGATTTGACTCTTCCATTTTCAATGCTTCCTCGTGAATCTCTTACTGACACTAGGAAATATAATAAAGAAATGACTACCATCTGCACTGCCATCTTTAATTGCTGAGAAAAACATTTTCACCACATGCTCCAAAATATGTGTTCATGTGTAAGATTGGAATCACTCACTCACAGTACTCCCTGTGTCATGGAGGTGAGCTCTCTACCGGCTTGTGGGGAGAGGGTAGGAGTATGGTACTGCTCTGTCCTGAGGTGGTTAAAAGTTGTTTGTACACCCTTTTACCACTTCTGTGACTTAGTATTAACTATGAATGTCCCAGGTATTGCCAGTCTGTCAGTAGTACAGGAATGGCTTGTACACACCTGGTTCAGTGCTTTTCTAGATGTTTCTTCACCCTGACATGAAGGATAAGAATCCTTCCTGACTAACAATGTCACACAAAAAATGTGTGGTGCTAAAGGCCATCTTCTGTCTTTTATGTGCTGTTGTTATTATGTGCTGTCAAGTTACCTGTGACTCTTAGCGACTCTATGTACAACACCTCTGAAGTCTGCCCTGTCCTTAGCCAGTCTCACAGACTCTGACACATCTACCCCCATTGCCCCAGTCACTGTGTCAATCCATTTCATCTGGGGTCTTCCTCTCCTGTGCTGTCCCTCCACCCTTCTGAGCATGATGTCCTTCTCCAAGGACCAGTCCCTCCTGGGCCAGAGTATGTGAGACAGAGCTTCAATATCCTAGCCTCCAAGGAGAAACTAGGTTTCACTCTTTCCAAGACTAACCTATTTGTTTTCTTAGCAGTCCATGAAATGTTCTGGACTCTTCTCCAGCACCACAACTCAAAGGCATCAATTCTTCCTCTGTCTCCTTGGTCATTATTGTCCAGCTTTCTGATGCATAGCAAGTAATTGCAAAGACAATGACCTGGATTAAGGTGCATCTTAATCTCTAGACTGACGTCCTTGCTTCTCAGTACTCTGGAGAGGTCCCTGACAGCAAATTTTCCCAATACAATTCATGTTTTGCTTTCCTTACTGCTGGTGCCAAGATTGGGAAATGAGCAAGTTCTAATTGTTAATAATTGCAAAAGTAATGAAAATTTAGTACAATTTTTATTTAAAAATCATTAATTAAAATTGACCTCTTGGAATGATTCATCCCAATTCCCTTTTCTGATTCCTGGACACCTTTAGAAAGGAGGCCTCACTTATTGGTAAAGGAGAAAAGTCATGTTTCACCACATTCATAAACTCGTAGATGACTGTATTCTTCAGATATCCCTGTCTTAACCCTGGAAAAAGACATTTCTTCCAATATCATAGCTTTTGTTGGGAATTTAGCTATCTCATATTTTTTCTTTTTACTACTGGTTCTATTTTAACTTGAAGAAACTTTATTTTGTTGCCTATATGCCAACTTGTATATCTATGAGATATTCTCATATCATTCCCCCCATTTAAAGTATATAATTCAGTATCTTTCTTAATATTCACCATTTGTGCAATCATTACAAAAATTAATTTTAGCATATTATTATTATTTCCCCAAAAGAAACTCCATACCAGTTTGTAGACATTCCTAGTCACTGTCTCTCTGCGTGGTCTTCTCTTGCCCCCTCCCCCATTCACAACTCCTGGCAGCCTCTAATCTACTTTGGGCTCTTTGATTTGTGTATATTGGAAATTTCATGTAAATTGGACATATGACATGTGAGCTATTGTGTCTGACTTCTTTCAGCATATTTTCAATATCCACATTGCGATATCAGTACTTCATGTTTTTTTATTGACAAACAAGCCAGAGAGTATCCCATTGTATGAACTTAATCAGCCATTGTTCACTCATGAGTCAGCTGATGGCTGTTAACTTTGTTTTGGACATGCTAGTCTTCCTCTTTCCCTAGAGGGGTGTGTGTGTGGATAAATAGATATAGATAGATAGATAGATAGATAGATAGATAGATAGATAGATAGATTCTCCACTGGATATTATGTTTTGCCTGTCACAAGGGATCGAATATTTGTCAGATGGTTGCTTGTTGATTAGAATTCTGAGATTATATCGTGTGCTCTAAAGGTTGATAACAGAATTATTTGCAATACCATTTCCTCTGGTTGTAAGTTAGAGATGACTAAATGGCCTATTTTCTATCTTTAGGCTCCAGATGGCACTGAATCTCAGTCAGTCAGAACAAATGAAAATAAACACCAAGGAAAAGATGGTATGTTGGACCTATTTTCTTATATTTTCTCATTTATTACTATAACAAACAGATACAACCATTTAAAACATCCGTCCTCAAGTCTAGTACACAAATTGTATTTCAACATTATGATGCACTAAATGGATAATTACACGAGGCTGAGCATATAGTGGGCTCGCTGTGTTTTAAGTTTGTTGATCTCTGTTTGTTCTAACATCCATATGCATATTTCTATTTCTTCCAGGTGTTTACTATGTCCAAAATTCTGTACATAGAAGTGCACCTTTTTAAATACACTCAGGAACCCAATGGCAGATCCATGTCTTAGCTGTCTAGTGCTGATCTAACTGAAATAACACCAGTGGATGTCTTTAACAAATACTGGCAGTAGAGTTCTAAGAGAGCTAAGTGTGTCTTTATCTCTTCGGAATTTCTGCTTCTCAGCCATCTTCCTATGGCTTGGAATCTCTCTCTTGCCCATTTCCTCTCTGCTCAGTTTACTTGTTTACTCCTTGGACATAAAAATGTCTACTCTACACTAATCCTGCATCATTAACAAAGATAGCTCACTCTCAAATGAGATTTTATCCATGGATGTGGAGTAGGAGATTTGTTGCACGTATATTCGGAGGACACAATTAAATCCATAATAGACTATTCTTAACTCATTTTATGAATGAGAGAACTAAAGTTTAATTTATTTCCATAGGTCACACATTTTGTTGACCAACCCAGGATTTCTGTTCCTTCTAGCCTGCATCATGATCCCTAGCAAAAAAAAGAATTTTACTTTAATTATCTCACATTTCCCCTAGCATCTTGAAATTGTATTATGTTACCTACATATCCGCCAGTAATTCTGTTTTACAGTTGCATTAGGTGTCATTCTTACACCATTCAAATGGACAATTCAATCAATGGTTTTTGGAACCTTGTTCAAAAGTCACAAGTTCTTATTTCATAAATGAATTGCTTTTCAGATTTTTTTATGTAATTGATGATAATTCTCCTTCCACTATCCCTTCTTTCCATATTTGTTATTTTAGAAATGAATTGCAACTTAAAAGCCTGTATGAAAAGAAAATATACAAACTTTATTCATCAAGAAAAAAATTATACGAAATTCATTTGTTTATTAAAAGCAAAGCATTCTAAATTTAAATCATACAGTTAAGCTTATAAATGTAGTATTTAACTATTATTATTAAATGTGACAAAAGTAGTCCATAACTGCGGGATTCCAGTTCTAAGACTTGTCCTTCCTTTGCTGCAGTTTAGATTTTCACCATTGATAGTACTATGTTTGGGTTGCAATGAGAGGGACAATAGGTTTCAAGTAACTGCATACTGATATGTGTTTCTAACCCTGACGTAAGAATTGTGTGTTAGTTCAAGACTTCATGGGACACTTTGGAATCCTTGGCCATTCAATTCCTCTATTTTCTCTTTTGTATTTTTCTCAGAACCTCCCTCCTGCATTCCTGGCTCTGAAACAGAACATGTTTATATCTGTGTGTTGTTGTTAGAGTTAGCTGCAAACCTGTGACTCACTCAGTCAGCATGAACCAACATACAGTGGCTTAACATGCTACTTGGTCCTGTGTCATCCCCATCTCACAGCCATGATCCAGAGGGATTTCACTGGCTGGTTTTGGAAGGAGATTGTCAGGCTTTTCCCCCGGTCTAACTTAGTGTAGAAGCTTCCGTGAAACCTGGTCAGCATCATTGCAGCATGCAGGCCTCCATCAACAGAGGGGTGGTAGTGGTTCATGAAATGTATTGGCCAAGAATTGAACTGGATTTCTTGAAGAAAAGACACTAATTCTACTACTGAACCACCTTTGCCCTCCACATATTTATATTCATAGTAAATACAGAAATAAGAGTTAGCAAGTTAGAACATACTCACATTTCTTGTTATTGTATGTTTTGAGTCCATTCCAAGTCATAGCAACCCTGTAAAACAGGGCAGAACTGCCCCCACCCCACCCCCTTAGAGTTTCTAAAGTTGTGGTATTTAGAAAGGAAGACTGCCTTTCTTTTTTTTTCTGCTAATGAATTTGAACTCCTGGCCTTTAGTGGGAAACTGTTGTTACACACTAAGCCACTGTTGCTGTTGGTATATGCCATCAAGTTATAACCAACTTAGCTGATCCTCCAGCAGATTTTCAGAAACAGTTGAATCACACAGGAGGAGATGGTCCATCCTTTTGCAGAGCACCTGGTGGATTTGAACCACGTGCCATTGAGATTGCAAGGCACCTTCTTTACCCCTGGGCCTCAGAGCTCTCTTCATATATACATTCATACATACATACATATATATATATCTACATTCATGTAAGCTAGCATCTCAATGGCAGTCTCTGGATGGCAATCACCTAAGGGAAGTTTCTGGGGTTGTGTTTGTTGTGTGTTACTGTTCTTCCCCCCCCCCCCCAAAGTGGGTGGCCCTTGAGCCTTAGATGAAGGGTCCAGGCCAGCCTGAGGGTGTGGCTTTAAAATCGGTAATGAGGGGATGGGTCTGAGAGCTGAGAGCTGGCCTGGGGCCTGGGCCCTTGGAGTCTCCCTTCACACTAACATAATTTGCTAATTTTAGAATGAATATTCTTTAAAAGACACAGTAATCAATTTTATATTTGCTGTACTGAACAACTTGGAGTTGCTGTAATGCTGAATACTGTTCCATATTCCTCTCAAATACCGTAATGGTTACCCATTATGTACAATGTTTGGATGAGCGTCCAGATTGGTTCATGTTGGGAAGCAGCAGTGACGTCCACTTCCTAAACTAGATGCCTCTGGAAATTCTACAAACTCTCTTATAAATGTACAGAAATGATGTTAATTATAGAACAGAGTTCAGGTCTTTTGTGCAAAGCTTACTCTGAGTTGAATTCGACTTAAAAACACTTAACCACAGCTAATTGAGACCAGTGCTGGATTATCTAGTGGAACATTCTTCAGCTTTGCACATCACTCTTTGTCAATATGCTGTATGAAGTAACCTGAGTTTGCTGTGATGCTGAAACTTGTGCCATGGGGATATAAAATATAATGGTTTCCCATTGTGGACAGTGTTTGGTGGAGCTTCTAGTAGTAAAATAGGTTTGGAAGCAGGAGTGGCATCCACTTCCTAAATCACATGCCTCTGGAAACTCTATGAACTTGGAGAAACAATGATAGCTATGCAAAGGCATTTAATCTTTTGTTCAGACCTCGACATGATGAAAGCAACAACAACAACAACATGTAAACACTTACAATTAAGTACTGTAGAGTTTTCTTTAGTTACATGCTTTATATCAAGATAAAATTGCTGTGTGTTTCCCCAAATCTATGTACCTGCAATCATTTTAGTAACAAGGAAGTTGGCCTAGCTCACCTTGGCTTCTTAGGGTGCTGACTCATCAGAACGTTCCATGCCAATGTCAATATGCTATGGGCTTTGGAAAAGAGTGGCAATTGTTAAAGAGATATTAAGGGGAACATTGTCCTTTCTGGGCATTCTCCTTCTTTGCCAGAGATTGTGATGCAGGCTATATAAACAGAAGTTCTGGAAGACAAGTCCATTATATGAGCACTTTCAAGTTTCCCTTGCAGCAAGCAAGTGAAATGTGACAAATCGCAGCCTGCTTTACATCTGCTTTTGCTGGAATGCCATGAATGCCGTGAAGTGGGCCCAGGGCCTCAAATGAGGATAACAAGAGAATTTGTGTAAAGCCATCCAAATCAGAGAGTATTTACTACTGCAGCTGTTCTGGGCACTGCCATGCTCTTGCTCTCTCACCAGCCAGTGAATTAACCAGTGCTATGAAAACATGGCAATGTTCAGACTGAAATGTAGGGAAACATTGTCAGGAGTTCAAATAGTGAGGCTATTTCTGCTTGTAATCCAAAGATGTGGGTAACATTGTCTGTTTTCAGTGTTATCTCCACGCTTGGATGTGTATAGATATCTAACTGAAGATATTTTTTAAGTGGAAAAAAAAAGTGATAAAGTTTAATGCTACATATGTTATTCTTCACATCTCAAAGTAATTAATCCTCTGTTAAGCTTCAGTCTTAACTCTTCATCCAATTCTGCCCAAATGAAAAGTTCAGTACTTAATATAGTTACATTTGTAATACCTAAATCCATTTTTAAATCCCAGTGTTAATATATACATTCTGTTATTTCCTTTTTTTATTTCTACAGAGGAATGGGAATTCTTTTACATGATAAAATCACTTCAAGACAGTTGTGACTATCAAAGAAATTTAAGAACACTTACAACTCTTAAGTACTCTTGTATGACTATTCACTTCAGAATCAATGGACAATAAATTCTAGGGTCTATATATTTGGATTTTAACACCCCCAAAGTTTTGTTTCAATCTTGTCTGTTAATTGTTTTCTTTAAGATTAGAGAACAGTTTCATTAGGTAGCTTTATTAGCCAGTTAGTCTTGCATTTCTCTTACCTCAGTAACTCCTTACATCTGAGAAATAAGTTTTCCTATTATATTTCTTAACTGGATAAATGAATAACATCATGATAGATGGAGGAAAGACTGAAGTTGTCAAGAATTTACTTAGATACACAATCAACACCCTGGAAGGAGCAGCCATAAACCAATAGATACAGCATTGGGCAAATCTACCGTCAAGGACCTTTTTAAAGTTCTAAACAGCAAGGGTATCACTTTAAAGGCTTAGATGTACTTAACCCAGTCTGTGACCTTTTCACTTACCTCATTTGCATCTGAAGCTGGCCATTGAATAAGGAAGGCCAACTATGAATTGATCCCTTTGAGTTGTAGTGTATACCATGGGCTGCCAAAATAACACAGTGATCTCTCTTGGAGGAAGTACAGACAAAAATTGTCCTTAAAGAAAAGAATAGTGAAATACTTTTTGGTCAGATACTTCTGCCATATTATCAAGAGCAGCAAGTCCCTGGAGTAGGACTACATGCTTGGAAAAAAGTAGAAAATTGTCGAAAGGGAGGAAGACCTTAAAGAGGATAGGCTCTCACA